ACACTGAATTACTCAGATTCTGTTAGGTGTTCCTACCCTTTCTTCGCTCATTAGAGAGAGACCAGAGCCATGGCTTTATGTATCTAACCTATGCATGAAACCCTACTTTCTCAATTTCTCTCGCCTTCTCGGTTATGGATATTATTGTGCAGGGCGGTTCGATGTAAATCTGTGAAAAATGATAAGAGCTTCTCTATTTCAAGCCACGACATGGTGCGCGCTACCCTAGCCATAGACCGGGCTACTAGGACTTTTTTGCTGAAATGACATTGCAGTTTGGGATTGCTAACCAAACCAACACAACTCATGTATACTTTAACATGGATGAGTGTTAGACTGTAAGGATGGATGAAATCACTGATTAAATATGAATTTACCTTCAGGTGTAGGGAAGCTGTTGGTACAAGAAAACAACCTTATAGGGCGAATATAGTTTGACGAAGACCACTGCTGTGTAAAGGTGGGATTACCCTATAGCTCATTTGCATCAAAGGAGTCTTTGGCGAATTGTACTGAACCCTAGCTTCTCAGTCTGAGCGCAGAGCAGCCACCATAAACATATAATGCAACTAGGTCAAGCAAAGACTTATCAAGAATGTGAGAGCAGAAATCCCGGAGCAGAAGATTTCATTTTGGGAATGTAGCAATAGCTACTATAGGGTGAATGAAGAAATTAGTAGAGGTTTGAAAACTTTACCGGGACATCCGTTCGAGTGACATCTTTATTGCATACAATATACAGATCGTAAGCCTCATTCGGCTTCAAATCATCCACGCGACGTATATGAGAAACAAATAAAGATTCACGTGCAGCGGCCGGCCAAACCTTAAGATAGTGTTAAGATTTCACCAAACAACACTTGTACAAACACTTTGAAAGCAGAATGTAGCTAGTCACGATGAGCGAAAGAAACTGAACAAGACTCAATGGTTTAAACGATTAAAATAACAATAGCAGCCCCCTTCTATAATAATTACTCTATAGAGTAAACGGATACCTCTTCCAAACATTCTAAAATAAAAAAATATATTTATTTATTATCTATGTCTTATTTATTTTTATCTATTTCTTATTTATTTTTCGTTATTTACAAAAAAACGTGTAAAAGCATAATTTTGAAAAAAGAGGGAAAATAAACACAACTAAATATACGCCAAATATCTTGAATCAAAAAAATTATTTCTGAAAGAAGTTATTATAAAATTTATTCTAAATCGGTGGAGGGAAGAAGGTACAGAACAAAGTACCTTATCCCTCTCCCCCCCGTATTAGGATTTAATAGCTAGAAAAACACGAAGGTAAATATACTAAACCCCTTAGCAATCTGAACGTACTAATATCTAAAGTCCTTCCTCTCGTGTCGGATACGAGATTATTACAGCTTTCGACCATCAAAACAGCATTAACATGCTGATGACAAAAAATTTTAAAGAAAATAACACATGCTTGTACTGTAATGAACAAGGTAGAGAAAACGAAATGTCCACACATAAAAAAAGACAAAGAATGGCAATACCGTTTTGTGCCTTTGATGTAGAACCATAGTGTCATTGCTGATTTTCTCCACAACATCCATTCCATCTATAGTGTGGTCCCATTCCATCTTGTATTTAGCATCATAGAAATAGTGCATATACTCAAGTGCAGTGACACCCTAAAAAAGGATACTTAGCAGCGTTCATAATAACGACATCACAACATTATCATCAAGAATATGAGCCATAACACAATATTCTCAACAAAAGAACACGAAATAGAGCGACGCAGCCACGGCGCCATCTAGATCATCTAAAGCTGGCTGCGCGAGCCGGCCACGTCGCAAGGGGTTTTACCACCCAGCCTCTGGTGAGTGTGTATAGCCGCCAATGACTTCAACAGACATTTTCCCTTTGGAGTAGGGAGCTTAAGTATATTTTTTCAGTGAAGTTGATTTAGTTTTACTTAATTTCAGCTTCAGACAAAATTCCTTTCATGCAGGGTGCTGACATTGAAATTAATGAGTCTTTGCTCCACGTAACTTATCCTTTGTTCGGATATACATGGTAAAAACAGTAAATTATCTCTGTTGGACAAGATCTGGAAAAGGCAAAACATTGAAGAGTACGCTGTTACAAATATAGTTTCTAAATCTTTTTGAATAAGATTTATTTCCATATCCATAAAAATCATAAATATGAGAAAATTTACTAAAGTCAACGAGTCAAGAAAAGAGTCAACATTGGAAAGAATTTATGGCATGGAAAAGTTGTTTTTTTCTTCTATATGCATCAGTTTGTTGCCTTTCTTATTGATAGGAGCTTTGAATAATTCTAAGTGTCTGAGCAGGCCTCGTACGGAGAAGAAAAGGAGGTGGGCCTTAAGTTTTGCAATAAGTACGTAATATATCGCGATCGCCTAACGGCCTCTGGGAGAAGCACAGCAAGCCTTTTGAAAGGTGTTTTGAAGTGAGAACTGACACCACTCAAATTGCCACAACAGATGTGATGACTATTCATTAGATTGTTTGTAGGAGTAAAGCATGTTGACGATTAGAGTAGAGCAAAAATGGCGAAACATATAGGATAATTTGAACGGATATTCGAGATTGCTGTAGAAATATAGTATAACTTTCAAAATATTGCCTGGAATAATCCGGTATTGAATGCTATACAAGAGAACGAGGAGAAATGATGTTCTTACAGTATCTCAATTATCGCAAAAAATAGTAGAAATAACGTGTCCATGCATTTATCAAACCTTCCAAAAATTATTGATGTATACTACAACTCTGAGAGAAAGTGAAATTTAGAAAATCGCTAGCATATTTCCAAGCCCATCCCCGTTTCCCCAGTGCCAAGTACGTGAGCCTAAAGTTTTTTTTGTTATTAGCCAATGCAGCTGAACGCTCAGATGTCTGCTAACATAATACTATCAATTGCCTCGCATCTTAAGTAAAAACGGAAATAGTAATGCACACAAATTGGCACCTTCGCCCTACAATTATCGCTGCGCTCTTAGTTCTACCGCTAATCATATGCTTCAATGTACTTTCATTCAGAGTCTATATGTTTACATGATCCTGCTCAGGTATTCTGATAAGAATTGAATCCTGTATATATATATATATATATATATATATATATATATATATAAAGC